CCCCAAAACCCCAAAACCCCAAAACCCCAAAACCCCGATTAAATAATTTTATTGAAGCTAGAGTTATTCAAGATTCATAATGAGCGCTTCGTATCTAGCCTTAATCTCTGCATTTCTTGACTTTACCACCTCTGATAAGATCAATGACATCCTTCTGGAAGTTGCCAATCAGGAACTTGGGATCGTGGTTCAAAGCGTTTTCTTCCATGACTCCAATCTTGATAGCCCTAAATCCTTCAATTTCAACATGTTTAGAACAGCTGGCAGCTTGAGAGATCATGTAGAGGAGTTGGATCCATTCTACACTGTTTCCACCGATCTTGAGGATGAATCTGTCTGACCCTCCTTCTGGTCTCTTATGTTCCTTTATGGAGTTAGAGATCTTAGTAAAGTTAGCTTACCTCTTCTCCGTTAACAACACGGTATTTGGAATAGAAGTGTACTAATCCATTGTCATCCGTTTGATCTAGTCCTAGCTTTTCGATTAATTTTGTGTAAGTATCGATCTACAAAAAATTAGATGAGGAGAATAGACATACAGTAAGTTTCCTGCCGTAAAGATTGTGAAGGTCACGGTTTTTCTTGATAACTTCATTCTCCATGAAGTCCTTCAGATTCATTGGAACCATATCCGTATCAGGGTCGTACTTGTAATGTGGATCTAGGATTCGAACAATTTGAACAGTCTTGTTCTTCAAGCTGTGGACAGTCTGGATGACATTATCCTTAATAGCGTCTAATTTGCTCTGCTTCTCTTCATAATCCTTCTCTTTTCTTTTAAGTTCTTCCTCATATTCGTCTATCTTGCCTCCAACAGCTTTTGCTTCACTGAGAGTCTGATCTCTAAGAGTCTGTTTGTAGTTTATCCTGACTATATCAGTAAGCATTGAGGCAGCTGCAAACAATTTCGTGATAAAAGTGCATAAAATTGTAGCTCTGAAAATATTTGAAATATATTTAAGCAAATTTCTATAAAATTTCTGCGATTAAGATCTAGCTTTAAAAAGTTTGCTTACCGATATCTTCTTGTTGCACATCTTCGTTCTCAATCAGCCTATAAGATGAGTACTCTAGACTTACTGGTTATAAACCTCTTTATGTTTTTCGAAAGTGCAGGTCAATGCAGCATGAATTTTGAGATAATTTTGGGTATCTTCATCTTCACACTCTTTCTTCTTCTCAAAAGCAGCTGTAATGAAATTAGCCAAAGGAAAGTAGGAAATAATTGGGTAAGCAAATCGGTATCTTGACTAACTTACCTTTCAGCTGGTCTTTATTCTTCGATGTGATTTTTCATAAGGCTTTACAGAATACATCTTCATTCTGTTTCATAGATTCCTTATGTTCCTGGAAAAACGAGCCATCTTGTTTGACAATATCTTCAAAAGTGATTACCTTTTGACCGTCATCTTTTGCATCTTCATCTGCTCTAGGGGCATCTTGATTAACTGTTGGATCAATTTTCCTAATGCGGTCGATAAAGTCCTTATAATCCTTGTACAGTCTGATGACTATATAAATTATGAACTTCTAGAAGGCTGTAAAGACCAACAAAAATCCACTTTGTTTAGATCTCTGGCAAAGAATGATGAAATCTTGATTTGTCTATTCTCAGATAAATATTCAGATTGAAATGCTCTCGACTCATAGCTTAATGATAGTACAACACATAATCTTAATACTTGAAGTTAATTCTACGAATTTCTCTGTAGAATGGATAGAAGCATTATTAAATGCAATAATTGTTTGCATAGAAAGCTACCTCTTGTCCAGAATACTTTGTAGATGATCATAAAGGTTTTCGAGAAATTCTACATATGCTAAACACATAGAGTCTATTGTATAGTCTCTAGTAAGTCAACAACTATAGTGCACAGAAAGGATCAAAGCCTTGCTAAATATGCTAAATAAACGACCTAAATCGGAAATATACACTCGTCCCAGTCTAAAATCATATTTAATGAAATTTGAAATCAAAGATAATTTAAATTCTTCAGTGAAGTATATAGACTTATCACAATTAATAGGCTCCTTTAATGGATAGCTTGGATGATTTCAGAGATTAAGAAACAGAACTATTCTGACAAACTGGGAGGAATTTTGAAATCATGACTCTGGAATGATGTAAGAAGGAAATAACTAAACTGAGAATAGTAACAGAATTTAAAAATCCAACTTTAATTTTGGAAAGAACATTAGTTTTAGATATCAGAATACTTACTTTCATCTTGCAGAGTTAGAAGGTCTGGTCCATCACCACCTGCAACTGAGGCCATGTCGCCGTGCACGCCGACTGATCGAAGAGTAAACTCTCTGAGCTCAGCTGCAGTCGTCATTAGTTCCAGCTCATTGAAGTCCTGGTCTTCGCCTATACAAGCAAGTCAGAGTGAACGAATGACAACGCCAGTCTCTTAGACAGAAGAGCGAGGCTGGGCACTCTAATGGCAGCGCCAGTGTTTTAAAGCTGGCTGAGAAGGAACGCATAGCAAGTGTTGTTAGGAAGCAAAAGCCAATATATTCTGGGCTTGAAATTCAGAGCCAAATTTAGAGAGATGTATGTTATTCATAGCTGGATCATAGTTATGATAAGTCATTCGATAAGCTACTCCAGTATATTAGACGCATTTCCCCCCTTATAGAGCCTATTTTATACATTGGCAGCTAACCTTTTTATTCGGATCTTATATTTACCATGAGTAAACCTCACATTCTAGAACAAATACCTACTATTCCATACTAAGCAAGCAGATTTTTATGCGAATGTTATTCTTTCTCTAAGAAGAGCAAATAAGATAGCAAATGAAGATAATCTTTGCTAAGGTTAGCGCTCAAATAACTTTTGGATTGTTAAGGTAGCTGTGAATGTTATTTAACATCTCAGTCGGCATTAAAATATCTACCTAGAGCCTATCTTAGCATAGAGGTATTTCCTAAAGTGCATGCCTTTGTGAGTCTCTTTATCTTATGGCTCCAACCAAGATAACTTATCCAAAGGAAAGCAGAGAATGATTTGAAAGAGAGAATATACAAAATCTATCAATCTGAATGAAATTTTTGGAGTTAAAGCACATCTTGATGGCTATGATTTGCCACTTGGTTACTCAGCGTGCTGATCATAGGAAGTTTCTCACATGAATCTAGAACCAACTCCAGCTTTCGCTCTTACAAAACAGTTGAATAGAAGATATTATATAAGCTAAGGCGATTAAGGAAGGTCTAAAATCATATGTGTAAAGATTCACTATGAAATTTTGTAGTGAAAATCTAACTGAATTCCTCTCCAAGATTTTGTATTCAAACTAACAAGAAAAAGATTTGATTTTAATGTGCTTTAGCATCCAAGAATGCTCTTTGCTGGCTTATTATGCTTAGTATGAAAACTCAGGTATAAATCCTGTCTAACTTTTAGATCGATTTTTTAAGAGAAATTTAGAAGAAGTCTGATATTAACAGTCTTGAGAAGAACAAAAGATATACTATTTAGAAGTAGGCTTTCAAGAAACATGGCTGAGATTACAGCTATGAATTTGAACCAAAGATTTACCAACGAAGGGTCAGCTTGATTTTAAAATAAAGATATATATCATTTGGCATACTAGGTGATGTATTTTGAAATGACAAACTTAAGAAGAGTAAAGTTAGCCAACAGCTTCTTTCCCCATCAATTAAAATAATTCACATAAATGCTTTCTTGCTAAAGCTATCTATCCATACTATCTTTCCATACCAAATAAAACTACTTAAAAATACTCCAAACGACCCTCAGAGCTCTCTAAACCTCAATTTTCCCAATTTTTTAAAAACTCCCCTCTCCCAACCACTAACTTACTGCTTGGAGCTCCTCTGACAATAATAATCTTGCCATTTTCAAAATTTCTCTTAAAATACAGCTTCTTTCTCTTCCTCTGCTTCTCTAGTTCTTCCTCGATGCCTAGCTCAGCTGCAAAGGTTTCTGCTTCGTTTGGTTCCTTATTCTCTTCGTTTGCATCAATACGTTTCTGTTCTTCCTCGTCAATGAAGGCTTGGTGGAAGACCTTCTCGTAATTCTCAATAGGATCTGGGTAGTTTTCTTGAAGATTATCTACAATCTCTTCTATTGTGATGTCAAGATTAACCTCAAGATCTTCTTCATTATCGGCGTCAGCATCTTTGTCTTCTTCCATGTCTTTAGCATTTTTAGGGTCTGCAGGAGGGTTCTGGGGCTGTTGTTCAGAATCCATTTTGGGAGATTATTATTTTTAATTGCTATTTAATTGGAGGTTTAAGGGGTTTTGGGGTTTTGGGGTTTTGGGGTTTTGGGG